AGGTCATTGCATGCCAAATCAATGTGTTTTCTTGAATAGGAAGCATCAAGATCAGCTCAGGCTAAATCTAGTTGAGGCAGAGGTTAAGTTAGGAAGATGAGGCCTGCAGATTTGCAGAATATTTTGAAGCAGAAAGAAGCCCAACAATGACAGATTTTTGGTCCAAGGATCTGAAAGAAATGATGTATTCCAGAGGCTTTGGGGTGGGTGACCAGACAATTAACTATTGCTATGCAGCCCACATTGTAACTATTAGAGTATTTTGTGAGTCTTGTCAAACTCCCTCATAAAATTAAACTCTTCCATGTTCAAGGCTCATGATTTATTGCCTAAACACATTAAAAATGTCAAAAATGTTCATGTCTAAGGGATATCATGGTAATGTCTAGTAGCCATCATTTTACTTAATATGCTCAAAGTCCAGCATCTTAATAATGGGTTTCTTCATCTTTCTTGACCATATTCTGGAAATAAAACCTCCACATGGAATAACATTTAGCCATTCCTAACTCTCTGACTTCTCCCCCATTCTCTATAAGTTTTCCTAAAAAAAAGATCAATGTCAATAATTCCATGATCTCATCTGTTTTCCTACAGTCCAGGGTAAATGTTTGGGTCTGTTTTTCATAATGAGACCCTGGCAGAGCCTGGATGCAACTGCCCATGCAGTGGGGACTAGAGCCAAGTGGGAGTTGGCAGGAGGCACAGGACATGCAGGAAGAAGGCGTGACTACAGTAAACTCTGGACAGAAGCTTATGTCCAAAGTGGGATGAGATCAGGCAGCAGCAGCTGAATTGAGACCCAGGACTTGGGAGATGGTGTCTAGCGTCTGGGGGCTGTCAGGTTTTCCTAGCAAGACAGAATAGTTAGACAGTGAGAACATACCTTTATGCCAGGCCATTCCAACTTTATCCTTAAAATATTGGGATGATAGGAAAGGAGCTGAATCTCCTGAGAAAGCAATTGGCAGGAACAAGATGGGGAGTAGCCAGTTAATTTCTAAGAAGGTGGGTTGAATGAGGATGCAGAGATGCCCTTGAGCCTTCAGGAAAGATGAGCATGGTATAGTAGAAAGACAGGACTCTTGGGTGTCAAGCATACCTGGTTCTACCACTTATTTATTGTAAATTAATAGGTAATATGATACCTCTATTGTAAGATTGACAGGAGGATCAAATAAGATAATATGTATAAAATGCCAGTTTTTCCTATTTTCTTCCCATTTCTTTGGCTCTTCTTTCCTGTTGCTACACTCAGCAAATATTGTTCAGTCCTTGTCTCTTCCATTTTGCAGCACTGGCTCCATTAAAGAGTCATAGTATCTTGAAATTAAACCTTCTCTTGGCTTCTATGTAGGTAGCTCTATCCCATGACAATATTGCTATGTTGTTTAAGTCTCCTAGGACTCCATAACAAAATGCCACAGAGAGATTAGTTTAGACACAGGTCTGGAAGATGGAAGTTGAAGATGAAGGCGCTGGCAGAACTGAATCCTGGGCCTCCTCGGTGGCACAGCGGTTGAGCGCTGGGTTGCGAAGCTGCCCGCGGCCTCTGCGGCGCCAGTTCGATCCCCAGCTGCTCCCCAGCCACCGGAGGAGGGTCCCACATGGCGCGCAGACCTCTCCTGCCGCCCGCTGCTCCCCTCAGCAGTGTACTTTGGTCCTTCTGCCTCCTCTGCCTCCCGCTCTGACTGGTGAATTCTCTCACCCTCCTGCGCTTCTGACTGTACCCAGTGCATGTATAAACAAAACAAAAACAAACAAACAAACAAACAAATAAATAAAAACATGCCTCTATTAAAAAAAAAAGATACCATCAAAAAAAAAAAAAAAAAAACCTGAATCCTGAGGTTTCTTGCCTTGGTTTGCAGATGACACTCTTTTGCTGCCTCTTTACATGGTCTCTCCTTTGTGTGGGCACATTCCTGAAGGATCTTCCTGTATGTCCTAATCTCCTCTTATAAGAACACTGGTCAGCTTGAATCAGCTTCAGTTTAACTCAGTTATCTCATTAAAGGTCCTGTCTCCAAAAACAACCACATTCTGAGATATTGGGATTTAGGGCTTTGACATGTGACTTGGACAAAATTCATTCTATAACACAGGTCATGCTGACAGTTCCTACAGTTATATCTAGAGCACTTATTCCACCCTCAAGGATCAGATTCCTTGATGTACCTGCCTCCAGAACCTTCCCATAGATGTCCTACTGGGAACTTAAACTCAAAAATTTGAAAATTCAGCTCATATAATTTTCCCTAGATCCTTCCCTTACTTGCCAACTTTATATAAAAATTTATATAAAGTGGACTTATGTATGATGAACACTATCTCATATGAGTTTTATCAACTTATTGAATCAGTTCAAATAGGAACAATGAAGAAGAGCACCATGTGTGTTGAAAGGAGTGGCAGAATAAATATACAATGTGATACTAGGTATATAACTTATGGAGTCATCTCTTATCTTTACCACTTACTCCCTGTTGACCTTGGGAACATTATTTCACATCTTTTTTTTTAAAGATTTATTTATTTATACAAGAACTGGGGTACAGGCCAGATGCATGGGAGGGTGAGAGGATTCACCAGAGACAGAGCAGGGAACAGAACAGGCAGACTGACAAAATACACTGCTGAGGGGAGCAGTGGGCGCAACAGGAGAGGTCTGCTGCACCATGTGAGGCCCTCGCTGCCTGGCCGGGATGAACTGGTGCTGCAGAGACTGTGGATAGCTTGACAGAGCTGCACTCAACCGCCTGCACCACCGTGGGAGGCCCTATTTCACATCTTTACACCTCATTTCCGCAGCTATAAAATTCAGGTTAATTAAGAGGTCAGCTTTTCAGCATCTTGTGAGAATTATGTGAGACATATAGGTGACCCAGCCTTGTACTGCTGGACTTTATTTCAGTTCAAACCAGCCTGCTTCTAGTATTTGACTCTTTCTCTCAAAAGAGTACTGAAAACTAATGCCTTTTGTATGCAGCCCACAACCAAGAACTGTTGGGAATTGGTGTATATTTTAATACCCCAACTCCTCACTCTTCCAGATGGGATCACTCTGAGGCTGTGTTTGACACTGCCAGAGAGTCCTTGTGAGATCAAACTTAAGTTCACAGTGATAGGTAACTTGAAAACTATCCCCCATTCCCTCCTTCATTCTTCATTCATCTACCAACATTTCTTGGGATTGTGTCCCCTAGAAATTATTGGTCCTGTAATTCTTGTCTTGAGATTTGCTCCTGGGGAAATCCAAACTAGATGGTCTGAGTGTTTGTGCCCTGCCCCCACTACTTGTTGAGATCCTAATACTCAAGGTGAGGGTATTACTAGGAGGTGGGGACTTTGGGAGCCATTTAGGTCATGAAGATGGAACCCTCAGGAATGGGATTAGTGCTTTTGTAAAAGAGAGACAGCAGATCTCCTTTGCCCCTTCCTCCAGGGGGGCTCACAATGCAAAGTCTGCAACTAGTAAGAGAGCCTTCACTTGACCACAGGGCACCTTCATCTCCAACTTTCAGTCTCCAGAACTGTGAAAAATAAATCTCTATAGTTTATAAACCACCAGCCTGTGATATTTTGTTATAGCTGCTCCAAAAGGACTAAGACATGGTTTGCAAAAATGCTTTGCTCAGTACCTCGCATCTGGCAAGAACTTGGGAATTGTTTTTGTTTTTTTTCACATTTATTTTTATTTATTTTTTTACATCATTGTTCATTTTTAAACAATATTTGCTTCTCCCCTCTCCCCCATGTGTAGTCCCCATAGAATTTCCTTCCCCAATGCACCAGTGCACCATCACCACAGACCCCTGTGCTCCTCCCTCCCTCCCTCTGAGCCCTCTCCCTCCCCCTCCCCTGCAGTATGTCTCTGATTTATAACTGTCTGTTTTTGTTTTGTTGTGTTTTGTATTGTTATTATTTTTTTTTACATTGTCTTATTTGGTTCTCCTATATTCCTGCTATAAGTGAAACATCCAATACTTTTCTTTTTTCTCTGACTTATTTCACTGAGCATAATTCCTTCTAGCTCCATCCATGTTGCTGCAAATGGGAGTTTTTTTTTTTTTTTTTTTTTTTTTTTTGCTATTACTGAACATTCTTCATCAGTAGAAAGCAAAGGTGCTCACGTCGTAGGTGGAGGCCTGTCTTCTCTCTACACTCTGGTTGTTTCCAGGCTGCAGAGAGCGGCCCTGTGTGGGCATGAAAGATTGTGAGAGAGGGCCTCCCTGGTGTTGCAGGCAGTTGAGCGCCGCATTGTGAAGCTGTCCGCAGCCTCTGCAGTGCTGGTTCAATTCCTGGCCAGCCAGGGAGAGTCCCACATGGCACAGCAGACCTCTCCTGTTGCGCCCACTGCTCCCCTCAGCAGTGTATTTCGGTTGTCTGCCTTTTCTGTTCCCCACTCTGTTTCTGGTGAATCCTCTCACCCTCCCGCGCCTCTGGCCTATACCCCAGCTCTTGTGTAAAAATAAACAAATCTTTAAAAAAAAAAAAAAAGATTGTGAGAGAGCGCAGTTTAAAATGTTACAATATGTATTCTCAACAGGGACTAGACTGGTTCCAAAGGGGCAGGAAATTGGGAGTTGTGGCAGGGGAGGTTGCAAAAATATTTTGTCTTTTTATATATAAAGCACAATTTCATACCTATGTCTGTATATAAGTAAATAAATATACAGTGTATTTATGCTATAAAAATTTAATTTAGGTCCTCCCCTGGTGGCACAGCGGTTGAGCGCTGGGTTGCGAAGCTGCCCGCGGCCTCTGTCGCACCAGTTCGATCCCTGGCTGCTCCCCGGCCACCGGAGGAGGGTCCCACATGGCACGCAGACCTCTCCTGCCGCCCGCTGCCCCCTCAGCAGTGTATTTTGTCAGTCCGCCTGTTCTTTCCCAACTCTGGTTCTGGTGAATTCTCTCACCCTCCCGTACTTCTGACTGTACCCAGTGCTTGTATAAATAAATAAATAAATCTTTAAAAAAAAATTTAATTTAATGGAGGGGTCAATTAGGGAAAAAAGTGTCTACAAAGCTCCTGGCGGTGGTGGTGGGATGATAACATCAAAACCCCACTGGTTTATAACAAAAGCAGAAAGTTACTGCTGTCACCCTGGCTTTGGGCTGTCCTGAGTGGCATGGTTTAATATGCAGGGTTCATGTCCTTTTTTCTAGAGTAGGGAGTTAACAGCTGAACTTTCATAAAGTTGTTGGTCAAGTTTGCCTAGGGAGGCACCAAATTTTTGGCAAAACATCTATCTGTTTGTGGTTAAGATTCTCCTGCTTCTTATTATGACCAGACTTGGTTAAGTTCAAGGACCATGCAGCTTGGCTTTGGTGAACAGGCAACCAGTTCATCCAATCTGGTGTGCTTTGAATCTTTCCTTCTGACTTTTACAAGCATCTCCTGATCCAGGCTGATGTCCCTAAATTTGACAAGAAGAAAACAGGAATGAATTCTTTAGTTCCACATTGTCTTTGTTAAAGTACAATCATTAAAGAGTTTTAAAAATATAGCTCTCCTACACACAAATGATGAACGTGTCTTCAGGATTTATTTCACCCACTAGGAATACTTCGACAAGAATGGCCAACTTAACTCTCAGTAGGTATAGCGACTGATGCATATATAATAAGTTCAAACCAAGGATGCTGAAATAAACTCTCTCACTTGGATGTGAAACTGGTTTCCACCCTATAGATTAAATATAATCCTTGGAGTTTTTCTCTACTGGTGAAATATAATTTGTAGTTATATTTGGGTGATTATATCTGATATTTTGGACAGTTTTTCTTATATTTTTATCTAGAGTCACCTTAACATGTTACATACCAGCTTAGCTGGGTTATGAAATCTTAGCAAGCTTTAATTCTTCGTCTTCTCACTTGAGAATCTGAAAGACTATCTGGAAAACTTGTCCTTTTCATCAAAGGTACCTGGGAGCTAGGTGCACTCCATGGCTTGCTGTAAATGTTTAAACACCCTCATATTGTAGCATTTGTGTATTTCCATGGTATAAATACTCCAACTATGGTGAATTTCAAATTACCAATGGGATGTCAGAGAAGGCAGAGTTGGGAAGAGATATACAATCACAATTATAAACTAGTTATTTTCTAGTTTCAGCATGTTTGGGTGTATGCTATGACATGTATTTTATGGATTTTAGTCTTGTTATTTAAGTAACTTACCAGGGATGTAGGATCATGCTACTGGATAAATAAATAGCTCTGAAGAGCCTGAAAGATCAGCTTAGCCAGTGGTTCTAAAACTATGGTCCCTGGGACCCTCATATTCTTCAAGGGTCTTCCAGAATTTATATGATTTTTAATACAGTTTTCTTTTTTTAAAAAAAGATTTAGTTATTTATACAAGAACCAGGGTACAGGCCAGATGTGGGGGGTGGTGAGAGGATTCACCAGAGACAGAGTGGGGAACAGAACAGGCAGACTGACAGAAATACACTGCTGAGGGGAGTAGCAGGCGAGACAAGAGAGTATGCCGCACCATGTGGGTAGCTCTGTGGCTGGCGGGGATCGAACCGGCACTGCAGAGGCTACGGGCAGCTTCACAGCGCTGCGCTCAACCTCCTGTGCCACCAGGGATGCCCTACAGTTTTATTTTTTAAAGTTATATTTGAATAAAATACAATGACTCAAAATACACATGTAGCAAACTATAAAGAAATATATGGGATGATGAACACACTTAGAATCCATGTACTTTTGAGAGGGAGAAGAGGAAATGATGGAGAAGTGTGGAATCCACAAAGCTGATGAGTATAGGGGTGTGTAGTACTAGCTAACTTTTTTGCATATCATAAATTTACATAAATAAATTAAAATATACATCCATGAATAAATTCATTTTATATCAAATTCCAAGTCTTAGAAAACTCTAGCACATCAAATTATGCTGCCAGACTCACTTATTTTGGACAATTGATGAACTACATTAGCATTTTCCTGCTCTTTCTGTTTAAACATTTTCCAATGTCGCATGGCAAGCTGTTCAAAAACATTGAATTGTCATTAAGAATCACATTTTATTTAATTTTATATGAGGGAGTGAAATATACTTTGAAAATCTGAAACAACTTTAAACTTACCAGGGTCGCTGATATAGTACAGAGTACTATGTGCTATTTTTCCATTATGATAAAATTTTAACATATTACCACATTTGTACTATCATTGCCCCCCTCTCTTCTCTGTGCGTGTATGTCTCTGCACTACTTAATACGTGAGTGTTGTTAAGAACAAGGACATAATCTGAGTCACCACAATAGAGTTAGCAAAGTCAGGAAATTTAACACTGATATGGTATTTTAATCTACAGTCTACATTCCAGTTTCAACAATTGTTCCACTAATGCCACTTAATGCACTTTTGTTTTTATATTCAGGATCCAATCTAGGACAGATCATGCATTACATTTAGTTGTCATTTCTCTTTAGACATCTTCGATCTGAAATGGGTCTTCAGCCTTTCTTTGCCATTCAAGACCTTGACATTTTTGAAGAACTTATGATCATTTTTGTAGAGTGACCTTCAGTTTAGTTTTTCCGATGCTCCTTACAAGTTGGATTAAGGGCTTGCACCCATTAGGGGAATAGCACAGAAATGACACTGCTTTCTACTCAGTGCTAATAATAGGGGGCATGAGAGATGGGTCACTGGTGGCTAGTTAAGGTGGTGTCCTCCACATTGCTCTGCAGTGGGAGATTTTTTAAGAGTTAACGATTTGACTAAAAATGAGGGGTAAATCAAAAGGGGGTATTTAGACCTTCTTGGTGATGGCTCCCAAATTACTCTGACTAGGTGAGGCGGTCTGCTCTATAAGTTTCAAGGCATTTTTGTGGTCCAAGAAAGGGCAGCATCAGCAGCCTGCTGTATGGCTGGGGCCTGCAAAAGCCATCAGTGTCCACATGTCTGGCACCGGGCGCCCTGGTGCTCAGTCAGTTCTAGGATGAGAACCAACGCTGGGTGGGGCTTCCGGTGGTTTCTGAGTGCGCCTGTCCCGCTGTGTTGGTGATGGGATATTTGTATAGTGTGGCTTTGCTGAGGTTTCCTCACTTTCCCGCATAAAATGACCATAGTCTGTCTTCTGAGCCAAGACTGCTGAGCCACAAATCACACATGCCCTGACCCAGCCTGGGACAGTGGCCTTGCAGAGGAAAACAGGAAATTAGAACATATGCACTTTCCATGTATTGGCTAAATTATGAGTTTCTCAGTAGTTCCATATGGGTTGAATAACAGGGTAATTTTCCTTCATGGAGTGAAATACCCAAACTCAGTAAGATTTATTTTATTGAATATAAGATGAATAACATCTTATTTTAGTGAATTACTTAGGGTCCGGCACTATTTTGTAAGTAGTATCACAGATTCACTCATGAATTCATTCCACAAGCTTTTACTGGGCCAGGAAGCTTGTGGTATCAGCTGGGCTATACCTGCTGATATAGCTATGCAGTCACACACATTTAGTAGGTAAAGCTGTCTACACTAACTTTAGACAACTTGCGGGGTCCTGCTCTGTGGTAGCAATGGGTGATAAATGGAGATGTGGAATTACAATGTCATGGGAGGCCATTAGTTGGGGTGCAAGTGCACCCAGAAGAGGAAGGCTTCATGGTGGGTGGGGGAGACTGCATAGATATGATCCTTGAGCTGAGTATTTACCAAGTGAGTGGGGGGGGCATTTTATGTACGTATGTATGTAGAAGAATTGGGGTGTAGGTCAGAGGTGCGAGGGGTGTGTGTATGTGAGAGAGAGGATTCACCAGAAACAGAGTGGGGAGCAGAACTGGCGGATTTACTAAAATAACACTGCTGAGGGGAGCAGCAGTGAGACAGAAGTCTGCTGTGCCATGTGGGTTAGCTCTCTGGCTAGGGATCAAACTCAGGCCATAGCAGTGAGAGCGCTGAGACTTAACCCCTGGGCCTAGGCATTAAGCGCTGAGACCTGCGGGGGGGGGGGGGGCATTTTAAATAGAGACTTGCAGAGATGCAAAGGTGTGGCAAGTAAGGAAGGGTTCATTGGAGACGTCTGAGTGGAAATAAAAATTTGAGTTAAATTGGGGAAGACCGTGGAGTTAACACTGCATCAGAATTTGGATGTTCTGTCCTAAGTGTTGGGAGCATCTTGATAAGATTTTGTATCTTAGAGCAGCATTTCTCAAACTTGAGGAAAGGGTCTCTAGGAAAGGACTCCCTCACTTTCTGAGGGCGTTAACTTGTATCTAGATTTGTTGGTGTAGGGTTGTGAGGACATCCATTTCACAGGCAGAACCAGGAACTGAAGACAACAGCGGAAGAGCCTCTTTGGAATCGCGGAAACACTGGATTCCTTCATCACTTTTACTGTTTAGTGACTTTTAAACATTTATTCTGAAATAATTTCAAACTCCCAGAGAAGTTGCAAGGTAGTTTAGAGAACTCCTGTTTGTCATGTATGGGGATTCAGGATTTGTACCATGTAGCCCCATTTTGCTGTATCATTCTTGAACCAGTTGAAAGCAAGTTGCAGACATCATGGCCCTTTACCACTTACAACTTCACATGTGGTTCCTTAAAATAGGGGTGCTTCTTACCTTCCCATGGTCCTATCCTCCAAGCCTGGAGCTTAATCATTGATAGGTACTTTTACCTAATCTTTAGATTCCGATTTTTGAATTTTCCCTATGCTGTCCTCTGTATCATGTTTCTCCAGTCCAGGATCATATGTGATTTGGGGGAATTCAGATCTTTTTGATTCTCTTTTAGTTTGGAAAGATTTTTCTGCCTTTCTTTGTGTTTTTATGACATTGATGTTTTTATAGAATCACAGCCAGCCCTGGATTGGGGTGTATTTGATGTTTCCTGGTGATTAGAGTCAGGTCTCACACTCCCTGTTGATAGGGATGATGTTATGTAGCTGATGTTGTGTCCTCTCAGGGCATCACCTCTGGAGGATCACAGCATATGTTTGCCCTCCCTTGGGACATTAATTTTGATTACTTGGTTAAGGTGTTGTATAGTTTCTCCACTATACCCCTCTTGCAATTATTGATCTATAAGGAGAAATAACTGCTTATTACTATTCTACATCCAACCATAAGAGTTGCAAATATCACTTGTGAACAATATGGTAACATTAAGAAATGTCTGTATCATATTTGGACTGTTTGCCATAAATCTGACATTTATTTAAATGTGGTATGCTAACAAGGACTGAATTAATATTATAATTTTTAAAAAAATATTCTATCTCAGTTCAAGATTTAACTGAAAATATAAAACCCAAATGATTTCTTGTATTTAGTAAATTGAATTGTAACGGTAATTGTGCAAAATTCTTAATACTTCCACAGGCTCTATTGTAACACAATTGAAATTTTACGTATCAAAAGAGAGAAATTACCATTTATTTTTAAGCCAATTAGAATTGGGTTTTCTGTTACACCATAAAAGCTCTTTACTGACTCAAGGGCCAGTTTATATTATGGGGTTAGTTGCTAATTACCATGGAGAAACAAGCAAAGGGTTAAAAGGAGGGAAAAAATAGGGGATTTTCATAAAACTTTAATTGTGGTCAGATGGGAATAGAGTTGGACCGGAGTACATGGTATCCTGGGAGGATTAAGTGTTTGGTGATACCTCTTGGTCTTAGAATTTATTTTATAAAGGCTGAACTAAAAAAAGGGGGTGGGGGATTCTCTAAGTTGCAATGAATAATATAATTTAACTTATTTACAAATTTTCAAATAAGTCTTTCAGTTTTTACAAATTTGCAACAATTTGCTAACATCATTTTCAATTTTTTAAATTGCTTTTAGCTGGATGATATTCCTTGAGTTCACAAAAGATATTGATTATCTACAGGAAAATGCAAATTTTCATTAAAATATGTTTATGCATCTTTGCTGGATTTTACATTGCAAAAATATTTACATTAATTGTAAACTCAGTACTAGCTGAGTAGATTTCCTAAGAGAGAGAAGTAGTGAGTCCTAGACAAGGATTGAAGTACAAGTCATTTATTGGGAGGTGATCTCAGGGGAATCAGTAGGAGAGTGGAGCTGGGGAAAGGGAAGGGGAAGCAGGCATTAAAGAGCAGTATCATGTGTGTGCATGCATGTGTGTGTATGTGTGTCTGTCTGTGATTCCCTTGGTTTGGGTGCCCCCAGAAGCAGAGCCTAAGACCACGCACCACATAAAACAAGTACCTGAGAGTTCTCCTACCTGAGATAGGTGAGGCAATACTTCTATTGCTAGAAGTAGTGCATCTTGCTTTGTGAGCTTCCAGAATCTCACTTGCCCAGGGCTGCCAGCATAGGCCATGGGCAACAACTTGGTCTACATTTAACAGTGAGTCCGGGAGTTATGGGATACAAATGTCATGGGAAAAAATGCTCAACAAAAGTAGGTGGGTATTTGTCAGGAAAGTTTTGTTTCTACTGTTGTGGGATCTCTACTGCAGGAGTCAGAACCAGCCTACATGTACATAGCACTTCTGAGATTGGAAAGTTCGGTTAGAACTGATCGAAAGGACCCCTGAATGCCCAACCAGGGAATGTGGCCACTAAAATCTAAAAATGAGCGGGGAAGCAGAAAGCTGGGAAAGGACACTTTGGTATGAGCTTGCAGGGCAGGACTTGGGCACAGACATCAGGGAGCTGCTGAAGCCATTAGGTTGTCGGCGCCCAAGGCCTGAGTGATTGTGGAGCTGGAAGGAAGATGAGAGCCATTTCACCCGGTGGCTTCTCAGAGCTGATTGATGTGCAGAGTCAAGTGAGGGAGGAGCTGAGGCCTTGCCCTCTGAGGTCTTAAGCCTGCTGTTGTCATTAACAGAAGGGGAGCAAGGACTTCAGAGGAACGGAATGTTAAGTGGAAAGTCAGCAATGGAAGCTACGTTTTAGAGAAAGAAACCAAAAATGAGTGCTGCGTTTTGTATTCTTTTGTAGACAGATATCTCTGAGCTCTGAAAAAGAGAAAGAGGGCTCCATCCTTACTTGGTTTTGTTTTGCTTTATTGTTTCTTTTTTTCTAAATTGTAACCAATCAGAATAGTGCAATTGAGAGTTAATGCACAAACCTGCCAGCTGAGTGCTTTGACTTCTATCTACTCTCTCTGTACATCTGATGAAATGATAATGGGACAGAAAACAATCAAAAATAGTGGCAGGAAAAGAATGAAAACACTCTAGACCTGACTGTGAACGGAGCCTGGAGAAAACCTTGGTTAACAAGAAGCTTCCAGCTGCAGGGAGCCACATGTTTGTACATGTGATGCCATTACAGGCAGGCCAAGTGGAGATTGATGGGTGAAAGGTTAAAAGCACTTTGTAAATGAAAATACCATATACGACAATGTCCTAGAGCAATGGGACCTTAGCTTTATTATATGCAGACACCTCCTCCCCCCACTTTCTTTTAGGCAGGTGGGGACTATGAGGAGGCTGGATTGGGTCCAGCATTGAAGCAAATATAATTATCTTTCTTGGTCTCAAGAAAAACACTTTCAGCCTCTGCAGAAGAACAAGAGGATAAGGTCTTTTACACTACAAGCATTCGTATTAACCTCTCATCTTCCCATTTGCTGGGGATTGGATTTCAGCCATCCAAACAGAGGAATTTCTCCCCCAAATAATCAGCATTTGCATGAGTTTCAGGCATATTGTCCAGTTTTCTATTATCTGTAGAACCTTGAAGTCAAGAGAAGCTAATTATTGGGGCTCATAAAATATCCCTATTCCCTAAGGAAGCATGTATGTTGGGGCTTGAACTCAGATATGGGGTAGAAGGATTTTTCAGTGCTTACTAGGTGTGATTTGACCTCCAATTTAAGGTTGTTTAGAAATGAAAGGCAACTGGTTTAGGATTAAGACAACACTGAAGGAGACCAAGATGGTGGAACCACAGTGAAGGGGGTTATAGTGTTTTAGAATAACCAAAGGAAAAAGGAAGAGACACAATTTCAACAACAGTCTAAGGCATTCCTGATTTCTCTCCAGCTCTTAATGTCTTCTGGAATTAAAAGTTAGGGAGAAATTAGGATGCTTTAGGGCTGTTGAATCCAAACCCTTCTGCTTTCTTCAAGTGTCACAAGGATATAACCAGGGCCAGTCAGGATTAAACCTCATACATCTGCAAACCAAGATCAGGTGAGGATGGGAGAGGATCAAAAGCAGTAGTGGAAGCTGTGTCCATCCTCTCGTGGGCCCTGAGATCTCCAACCTTCCCGCCAGTGGTGACCTGAGGCCTGGGCAAGAGACACAGCTGCCTTGGGCAAATGCACTTCATCACACTCTGGCTTCATCCCTCCCCATGGAAGAAGTCTACTGGGCCAAGTGTTGTCCCAACCTGGAGTTCACATTTCCCCACTCCCTCTATTTCCCTCTAGATGCACAACACTCTGGAATCCCTGCTGCATTCTCAAGCTATTTGGACTGCCTGGGAGTGCCTATTCCCTCCGCAACTCCCCACCCAAAGGCTGGATCTGCCCTGGTATAGCTCTGCCTCTTCCAGAGTCTGGGCGACTAGGATGGAATGCCAGATGGACCGTGCTTGGACAGGAATCTGGGGTGGTCACAGAGTTTTTAGAAGGAATGGAGGGACACAAGTCATGGGGCAAGTTTGGGATTCCCCCCATCTTCCCATGCTTAGCACAGAACACAGAAGAGTCTGAAAAACATAAATTGAAACAGACATTTCAAGCCCTTATGAAGACCCATTTGTCATAGTAGGAGAATAGAAAATATTTTAGTTTATAGTTTATACTCTTGATTTATTACTTTAAAAAATATAGACATAAGGTACATGAACTTACATTTGTTCTCTTCCCCTGACCCTGAAAGTATTAGTATCTGCCTGTGTATCCCCTCAGAAGGCAGGATACCCCAGACAAGGTCAGTGGCACACTGTCTCTGCTACTGCTCACACCATCTGTCCATGGGGTGACACTATGGCTTTTGCTCTTCTTTTTCCAAGAAGTCTGACCCCCAGTGATTATGACTGCATTCCTGAAGCAGTCTCCATCCTATATGAGTTTGTACTCACCCTTAAACACTCTCGTTGGCAATGGGGTGATCCTACTGCCAACCCTCTCCCTTGGGCTTCGTGTTAATGTCTCTGTCCTCCTTCCCATAAAGTGGGTCAAATACCTGCACGAGAGAACAGGAGGGAGGTAGAACATTGAGAAGAAACCCTGCATTTCAAAGAGAACCTGCAGGTTCTCTGCATTTTGGTAGTTGTAGCCTATGCAAAACTGGATTTGTGAAATAGCCCCATCATATGTACTTACTTGTCTTTCCCAAGAAAAAAGCAGGATTCCATTGGTCAGCCAAGAATAAAACTTTTAAATGATAGAAGTGCCTGAACTACTAAGGCACAATTTCAGACACAAAATACACCATTTTCATGATAGTAACAGATATCTCTGAGATCCTTACTGAACTAGTGAGTTTCTAGGAGTCTCTTGTACATACACACAATATTATTTTGGATAACAACCCTTTCTTTATGGATTCTGGCTATGAGATGGTATCACTAATTATTAATAGGGCAATTATTACATATGGTGGTATTTTGTTATTTTAATGATGAGGCTTCTGCTGAAAGTTCCACGTGGAATCCATGGACTGAGAAGGGAAGCATTCTTCAGAGAAGGTCCAGCTGTTCCCCAACCCATTTCTTGAAAGTAAGGTTGGAAATTTTAAGATTCTATTCCTCACAACACAGAGATTCAAGAACATTCACAAATGCGCGGAGAAATCAACTTGGTTGGCCAGTTGTATTTCATTGTGACTTTCACATGTTCTGGTAGAATGTTTTGTTTGTTTCTGATGATGATGTGATGACTTGGACACAAACCTGGAGACCTCTCTAGAATTCTGGTTCTAAACTGAAAATGAAAGAACTGAGGAAGAGGATTGGCTAGGTAATTCTTTGGGTCTGTATGGAAGGGGAACTTCGTGATACATACTAAAAGAAGAAATTTCACAATAGAGAGAAATGTAGCCTCCCTGAAAACCAACTTCCTTGTTTTTTTTCTAGCATGTTATGTGGTCATTAGCATGGTGTATTTGCTTTTGGCATGTGCTTTTACCTCATCATTCTTTTTTTTTTTTTTTTTTTTTTTAATACAAGCACTGGGTACAGTCAGAAGCGTGGGAAGGTAAGAGAATTCACCAGAGTCAGAGGGGAGAGCAGAGCAGGCAGACTGACGAAATACACTGCTGAGGGGAGCAATGGGTGGCAGAAGAGGTCTGCGCGCCATGTGGGACCCTCGCTCGGGGATCGAACCGGCGCTGCAGAGGCTGCGGGCAGCTCGCAACCCAGCGCTCAACCACTGTGCCATTGGGGAGGCCCTACCTCGTCATTCTTGAAGATTTGTTCCTTACCATCATGTTATACTTTTGAGGGAGGCAGTCTTTAGAAACCCTTTCTTTCAGTTTCTATGACATCCTTATAAAATCTCATGTACTTAATTCTTCAACAAGCATTTATTGAGCATATACACACCAGGCACTGTGTAAGGCATTGGAGATTATGCCATGAATAATTATCTAAATACCTAACCTAAATAATTGTCTAAAAAACTATCTAGAATTATCTAATATCCCCAATGTCTGATTGACTAAAGAAAAATCTTTTCTTCTTGTCTTTAACCCCTTAAGAAATGGAACTAAGTCTAAAATAACAGGTGGTACATATGGCCTCCTTCACATTTCCCTGATGGCACTCTTTGACTTGGTTAAGATGACAGGCAGACATTTTCATGTCTATCTTAGGACAAATAATGTGGTTTCATGGATAAAGCTCTAGTTTCAGTCTAAAGATCTAATTTCTTGCTTTTCTATCTTTCATAACTTTAATGCATGAAGACTCCAATAAAAGCAACCTCAGAGACCTTGTGGTTTAGGATTGGTGAATTAAATGCAATTGTAAGTTGCAGTCAGTTCTTCTTACCCACTAACACTGATAGTTAAATTTTCATGAACTTTACAAGCATGTTGTGATGTTAGCAGCTTGGAAACAGCCTTGTATCTAGGTTAGTAAATATTTATGTATTAACATCAGTAGGCAAATGCTGAAATGTGGGGCTTCTATTCCCCAGAAAGCCAGTTGCTAAGCATTTTCCAGTAAATTCCTAATTAAAAGGGAGTGTAAATAACCTAATGGTGAAGTAGAAAGTTTGGAAAGGTATACACAAGTTTAAAATAAAGGGGAAAGAAACAAATTATTACATGAAATTCCAGGCAACATGCCCTAGGAGCTAATTTTTAATGTAGGGATGATTGCCCTCTTTTTCTCCTTTCTAGAGCTGGTTGTCACGACATTTTAACCTTGGGTATTTTCATTTCGTTTCATTGTGGTAAGAACACTGAGTAGGAGACCTACCCTGCTAAATAGGATATTTTAATGTAGGCATTTGGATTTTGTGTGTGTCTTTTACACTTTCTTCACTAATGGTATATAGGCTGTTAGTAAACAAAACAAAACAAAAAAACTATTAGGAAAATAAAGAGTATTGAGTTCAGGATTATAATAGTTAGTTGCTGGGCAGTAGAAGAATCTATTCCTAGATTCCCTTTTATCTCCAATTATCTAAAAAATGTGAAATATCCCATTGTGAAACCTTTTCATAATGAGGCTGCCTGTGCAGGGCGTTACTTTGGGATGAGAGCCGACGTGCGATGTAAGATTTCCTCCTTGTATGAGTGAAGTCACTGCATACGTGGACAGGGAGTGTCCCTTACCCACGTGGAACTTTCCAAGTGAGAAGGTTTGAATAGACTTTCCTTTGAAATGCTGGAAGATTCTCGGTCCTGTTCTAGATAGGCACAGTGCACAGCCCAGCGCTAAGCTCAGGAGAAACTTTTGCTCAGAGGAATAAGGATGTCTGCAGGGATAAAGAGGGAGTAGCAGGAGGCTCATGATTGAATGGCCAAGGGGAAAATGAAAGCATTAAAGGAGGAATTTGGCAGCAGCGCTGCTCACCTGCGGTCCAGACAGTAGGTATTATCTTTGGTGGACGTGTTCACACCTAGGCTGGGCTCCAGGGCTCCAGCAGAGCTTCTGCAGGATGGAGGGGAGTCTCTGTGAGGAACCAGTTTTCCTAGGACTGAAGGGAAGCCCTCCTCTGGAGAATGAGCCCCATGTATGGGCCAACCCTGGGAGTGGCAGAAATGTAGAGTTTCATATCACTTAGGAAAAAAATTATTGTTTTGTCCTTGAGAAAGCCAAGGCAGTGAACGTTGTTTTTAATTTGAATTTTAAAAAGTGTAATTGAGTAAGGAGGCTGAGAATACAATTCTTTGCTTCTGATTTTTATATATCCCACAAATTAGTCTTTTTTCTTTTTTTTTTTTTAAAGCTCTATCCATTTATTTATAAAAGAACCAGGGTACAGGCCAGATGTGCAGGAGGATGAGAGGATTCACCAGAGACAGAGCAGGGAGCAGAACAGGCAGACTGACGAAATACACTGCTGAGGGGAGCAGCAGGCGAGACAGGAGAGGTCTGCTGTGCCCTGCGGGACCCTCACCGGCCGGCCAGGATCGAACCAGCGCTTTAGAAGCTGTGGACAGCTTCACAGCGCGGCGTTCAACTGCCTGCGCCACCAGGGGAGACCCACAAATTAGTCTTTTTCAATGAAAAGTTTTAATGGTCTTAAACCTTTTTATTTATTTTTATTTTTAAAAAACTATTTTTTTAGATTCATTTATTTTTGCATACAAGAGCTGGGGTACAGGCCAGAGGTGTGGGGGGTGAGAGGATTCACCAGAGACAGAGTGGGGAACAGAACTGGCGGATCTACTGAAATACACTGGTGAGGGGCGCAGCGGGCGAGACGGGAGAGGTCTGAGGTGCCTTGTGTGTCACTTCCCTGGCCAGGGGTCAAACTCATCCTGCAGTGTCTGGCAGTAGCTTGATAATGCTGAGACTTTACCCCTTGCACCACCAGGGAGGCCCAAACCTTTTTATTTTTAAGTTTGACAATTGATGGAGGGAAAATCAGAGCTGTACAGTGATATAAGATGCTTTTTAAAAAATCCACAAAACTTGACATTTTAAGTCAGAGCCTGGAATAGAGTTGTGTTTTTTTCCCAACTTGTAAAATCTGTGGTAATAGAAAGATAATTATGGAAATATTTAAAGAATTTCCCTGGATTCAGAAAAAGGGCCAGGAGAAAAGGTGAGTTGCATTTCTTGGAATTTGCCGTGACTTGATGGATCCTCAGGGATGAATCACTTTCTCCTACTTCAGTCACTCTGGCTGTAAAATAATTATTATAATGCAATAAATAACGAATCTTATTTACTAAGAACTAAAGTTCATTTTACCTGCCTCAGTCAACTGCTGGAAAGCAGAAAACTTTGTGGCCAACACTCACAGCTGCTTGAAGATGGAAAACCCATGGAATGAATTAGTTGTTTCTTAGGAGTAGGGGATGCTGCCAGTATGCTTATGGGTTTGCACTTGTGACCCCAGGCCAATAAAATAGTAAGGGAATCATTGGATTAAGTGAATTGATGGTCGAGTGGAGGGGAGGGGCATCAGAAAGGCCAGCTCATTAACACATCTCAGATGATCTGTCTTGCCAAGATCTGGCTGGGGACTAGGTAGACCAGAACCTGGAAGAGTGCCAGTGCCTCAACTCAGCTTGGTTGATCAGTGAACTGGAAATCGGGCACTCCGAGTTCCAATCCAGGTGGCAGCAGAGCCACGGGCCCTCAGTGCCTGTGGTCGGTGACTCTCAGGGCATCATGCTGAACAGCCCACCTTGCACCCTCTTGCATAACCTCTTGCTCAGCGGCAGTTCAGGCAGCCTGGAGCTTTATCCTTCTCAAGACAGACCTTCACCTCAGCGGGCACTTGTGGAGCCATGCGGAAAGACACAGCTAGGTTTACTCTGAAGAGGCAGCGCCTGGCATTTCTGGGAGAGTGAGGAATAGTCATTCCCTGCCTTTGTCCTTTAGCCTGACTAGAACAATCAGCTTCGTTTACATTCCTTCAGTGGTGTTACTGAAAGGGCTTGGCAGCTTCAAAACGTTTGCAGTGTCCTTCAGTCCCATTAGAGGTTTTTTTCCCCTTTTCTTTTTTTGGTTAACGTTCAGCTAGCATCTGGAAAGATCCACTGGACATGCTGGGTGTGTTTTTTTTTTTTTTTTTTTTTCAAGAATCTCCTTTACCCTTCTGGGAAACCAGGAAAAGAGCACACTTCCACCGTGTAAGTCTGGAGGAATTTCACAGCCTTTCAAACTACGTACGGTACCTTTTTTGTTTCTTGGTCCAGCCTGTTACTGGGGTGGTTTTAGGATGAAACTGCTGGTGTACTCCCTGGGGTAAGTGGTAGGGGATCACAGATGAAAGAAGTTATTGTCTTAAATGATATATTAAATTTCTACTCATATTGAGTTAAGGTGTTATGGTTTGGGAAGGAAACTATTGCTATGACAGGCAGGACCTTAAACCAAAATGTCTGTTTGGTTCTTAAGAACTTCATTTAAAAAAAAAATAGAATCTATGCCATACTTGGATTTTGTTCTGTGGGAAGAATGTACGGCGACACTTGGCCACCTGTTCTTATCACCAGCCCTCATCCATCCTGGAGCACCTTTATGACGAAGTAAGGGGACCTGCATCTGTATTTCTGGAGAAATGTGATAGATCTGCCTGCCCTTCATGGAATCCAAACAGAATGTTTCATCAGCACCTCTTGGGTTTAAAGTGTATGCACGCATTTTTCAGGCAGCTAATTAAACTAAAAAAGTTCTGGATTCCAGACCACACTATTGCTATAGGCAAAATTCCCTGCCTG